CTGCGGACGGAACTCATGCTGCTCTGGACACAGAAGATCATTCGGTAGGTGTTCCCAGAGTCGCTTGGCGAGTACACGTTCCATCACCTTGACGGTTATATAGGTGAGACTCGCCGGGCGGTAGTTGACGGGGTCCCCACCGGCTCCACCTTTTAAGAGAGAGCGTAAAATCGCGGTTTCCCACTCGGCGGGCAACCTCCCCTCGGTCAATGGTTGTTCGAACAAGACGGCCAAGGGAGGTGCACGATGGGACGCAGTCAATCCGGACCCGGTGACTGGTACGGTTGCAGAGCCGAAAGTGCACCACACACCCCGTCTACCGAGATGGCTTGCCAAGATAGCAGAGGCGCAGAGCACGACAGTCGGGGGGTCGGTGATGCATCGGTGGCGTAGACAGATGCACAGTGTTGCGCAAAAGCGTCCGCCTTGTCACCATCGGTTTCTGCCAGGGCACCGTTAATCTCCAACAATTGTACGTCAGCCATTGCACGCGTGCGGCGACATAGGTATGCATAGAAACGCTTCAGCATAAACGCCGCTTCGGATACCAGGGACTCCCCGTACACGCGCCGTTTTCTGGACTTCATTTCAGAGCACGCATTATGCAGCACCTTGTATTGATCATAGTTAGATCCGTGAGCGCGAAATGCTTTCACACCCTGTCTCGATGCGTAAGTATCTGACGTAACACGCAGTCAAACCAGGGGCGCCAATAGTGTGTGACAGGAAGCGTTTAGGAGGAGAGAAGGCTGCCATCAATTTAAGAATGCCGTCCCGGAAGGCAGTCCAGGCAAGATCTACTCCCTGAGGGTAGGTGAATACCCAGGAGAGGGACTGCGCTGCGATCCTCATGCCATCGTAGTCCACTTTCCAGAAACTGGATCGAGAATGTGGTCGAGAGCGATACGGAGCTCCACGTCACCAATGCACCAACAAGGTCCAATGATCGCTCGAGCGGAGTGACGGGAGGTGGTCAGTGATGTCGACGTCCGNGAGGGGATAACATCAGATCTAGGACTGACTGGACAGAATCGTTGATCCTGGTGGGCTCGCGGGAGTGCTGATGCTGGTTTGCTACTTCGAGGAGGTCTCTGGAGAATTGGTCCACTCCCGGTAGGCAGCGATGTTCGTCCCAATCGATTAGGGATACATTGAAATCACCCAAAAACAAACAGTGGCCGTCGCCAGCCCTTCATCGCATATCGTCCAGGATGGCCACCGGGGCTGTCGCTAGTGGTCTGTAGCAGACTCCTATCGTTGTGTAGTCGTTGCAGCACAGTTTGGTTTTGCACCACAGCGCTTCTCCCGTGACCGTCAGGGGTTGGTGTAGCTGTAGAGGTGAGTAGCCGGTACACTTTCGTGGATAAACAGCATGACGCCCCGACCCATCCTTGGTTGTGCACGGTCCGAACAGAATGACGCATACCCCGAAAGTTGGACCTCAGAGTCAAGAACATCGGGGGTGAGCAAAGTTTTGGTGAGGGCGATGACCACCGGGAGGTGCTCCACGATAAACGCCTCCAACTCGTCTCGTTTGTTCAAAACACTACGTACATTGGCAGACACTATGCACGCGCGGTAAGCGCGCAGCATCCAAACGCGGCTTGAATAAAAACGTTCAAGGTCATTTGATCGATCCCCATACTCCAAGCTAAGGAAAAATCCCAACTGGGGACCACTGTCGCCCCAAAATTATTCCGCTTATTACAGATATATAACGCGGAGATCAATAAGCCAGCCAAAAACCAAAACAATAAAGGGAAATTTATTTACCTTCAAAAAATAATTATTCGTTATTATTAATCAACGAGTTCTCGTGAGGGAAATTTACCCATACCAAATCTTTAGGAATTCCACCTTCCATATAACTGTCAAAAGCTAAATAAAGCTAAATAAAACTGACTGACTATCACGACGGTGCCTGTGATTACTTCGTCAACCTGAAACTCTCCAAGTCGCGTGCCCGTGGACTAATGCGCCAATTTTCTCCCACCCACGCGTCATTCCACCTTAAAATTGGCTCAACAACGAAGTGCGCAATGCCCTCACAAAATCCGATCTCAAATGGAATCTATGCCAATATCTTGGTCCCGGAACGGAATTCATAATCCAAAGACAAGTAAATCAAATTGGCGTTGCTCTAAAAGGGCCGTTTTCAGTCACTTTAGGCTTTTGACATCCATGCTCATCGACTGAGGCAAAGCACACAAACGTATGCTTCCTCTCCACTGTAAGCAGCACAACTCCTGTGTGTTCGACGCCCGCATTTCTGGCACTGGATCCATTGTTTGTCATCGTCCAAATCGACCGTATTCCATGCAGATGTGCAGACATTGCAACAGTTGGCCTTCATCGGTGATGTCGGATTGGTTTGCCTTCTGCGTTTAGTATCCAGTTTGTACTTCGCTGATGTCACTGTTGTCAGTCTTCGGAACACAGAATGCTCCAGTGGGCCACCTAGCACTATTTCTTTGTCCTCACTGTCGACTGATCGGCTCACTAAAACTGATTTCCGCTTTTCGATCGAAACGCTTGTTGAAGCTACTGGTGGATTACTGGTTCTCACCTTGACGCTCGTAGACGGAAGACAGGTACGCTTAATCTCCGTC